GGTGCCTGTAGTCCCAGCTACTAAGGAGGCTGAGGAAAGAGAATTAGTTAAGCCTAAGAGTTTGAGGTTGCTGTGAACTATGATGCCAGGACACTCTACCAAGGGTGACAAATGAGATTCTGTCTCAAAATAAATAAATAAATAAATAATTTGGTCTCTTTTCTATGAATTTTTAGCATGTCAGTCTATCAGTAAATGCTGCCTCTTAATTTTATGAACAGGATTTGGGCAAATTAGTGAAATATAAGGTAGCTAAACCAATACAAACTAAAGTGACTAGTTTCTATATCTGTTCTATAGTAATTGTGTACATTTATTTTAGTGGCTATTTCATTCTGCCTTGTATCATACATTTCTATGACTGTCATTCAATCTCTATTATAAGTTTCTCAATAGAGCCAGTGCCTTAATGACTTCATTTCTTCAAATATTTCTTCAGTAAATAGCGTATTAAATAGATACTTGGGATTCAATGGTGAGCAAAAAAGTGATTACCACCTTCATGAAAGTTACAGAAGAAAATTTTAGGCAGTCAAATAATTGCAAATAAAATTATAAACAATAACATACAGTATAAAGCAAAAGCACAACAAAAACCTGTTACAGGAGATTACCAAGGTTGTTAGGTAGATGAATAAAAAAGAAGCAAATGTCTAAAATCAGAATCAACTACTACATCCCTCAAGAACAAACTGACTTACTCCTTCAAGTTTACCTTAATATCTGTGTAAGCTGGGATATTGTAGTCCAACCACCCTGGATTCGAGAACAATCTTGACTGAGGACCAAGAGGCAATACTGAATAAGGTCGTAACAATATATATCTTGTTTAATTTTCTTCAACTCTGAGCTTCCTAAAGGTATGGTGTTTATTATTTCTAAGACAAAAGGAAACAAGATACACTTATTTTTGCTCAATACATCCAAAGGCTACTTGTATTTTCTATGTTGAATAAAGACTAAAAATATACCATAAGGAAAAATCACTGCTCTGTCATAGTGTTATGATTTCTCTAAACAAATTAGAAATTCTAAAATTGTACAAATGATGGATTAGTTTTTTATTTAAACTGTTATCCAACAACAAGACACTTTTCTTACCTTTTAACTTCAGCAGTATAACAGGGACATTTTGCTCAGGACTTTTTGCAACTTCAGCAGCTAAAGCTAAGATCCTTGGGTCTGTACCTGTTGGCTTCATTTCTCGTATCACCTATATTTTTACAGAATCAAAAAATAAAGGTCAAAATGCCCTGTGTACCACTAAAAAAATGTTTATAATTCCAATATAAATGAAAACTTGTTTGAGAAATGTAGATTTTTTCATTTCTTCATTATAACAAACTCTGGTTTTTATAACCAGCGTAAATCTAAAAGAGCTCTAGATCCCCATACTCATGTATAACTGGTATAGTAGCTATTGTTCAATGTGCACTCACTGAGAGTTAGGAACTGTGCTAGGAGCTTCACATTCTCTCTCTCTGATCTACACAACAATCTAACAAAGGGCTCGACGCCTGTGGCTCAAGTGGCTAAGACACCAGCCATGTACACCCAAGGTGGCGGGTTCGAATCCAGCCCGGCCCGCCAGACAACAATGATGGCTGCAACCAAAAAATAGCC